TGCGATTTATCCCGAATCGTGCCATTCTTTGCTCTTAATCGCATCTTTTTCCTTGCTAATGAGAAATCTTAATAAAACTCATCAACCAATCAGAATAAAGGTCTGTTTGTGGTTAAAAAAATATCAAATTGTAGTAAAATTAAGGAAACGTTTGCAACTTTTTTAAAACCAGCTCAGTGCTGGGTTAATAAAATATTCTTAACAGGCTAAAAAACCCTGTATTGCGATTTCAAAATGGATCTAGTAAAATGGTAATTAAACTTCGAGTCGTTCAAATCTGGTCTGAAATCATACTTGTGATTTCAAATCAAACTCGCGTTGTGCGCTCAATCACTTTTGAAATCACGCATATGATTTCGGACCAAATTACGCTCTACACAGTTCAATTAATATTTGTTATCAATTGTCCTCCGTTCACGGTACAGTTGATATCATTAATGTCTATACAAACTGGTGTCGTATCAAAATCATGGACTATACTGAGTATACAAATTCTTAAATTAGGTTTGCTGGATAGATGGCTAAAATTGTAGAAATAGTTTGCATGCGGATTAGTAGGTTTGTGAAAGAGCAAGAACAAGAAATGGAGCGACGAAGAGAGAAAGATCGCAATTATAGGGTAAAATTTCAATGAATAAAATTGATGTGTTGGCGCCAATGTCCTTCATACATTCATCCACCAAAGTACGTAATAACATTTTAAATTTGGCTGCTAACTACTTAAAGTCAATTCCAGAGCAAATTAAAATACTCCAAAAACTGGTAGGGTTTGGAAAAAAGAAGGATCTAAGGTACAAAAAGTGACAACAATTAAAAAAAAACCTAAATAAACCAATATTAATATCAAAACTCGCATGTTTCAGAGACAAGCTACTTTTAGACTCACAATGTACTGTAAGTGTCGCTGGAGATGAAGTCGCGTTATCCAGACTGTTATTGGCCTCACATCTGTATATTCCTGCATCTGATTGTTGAACTTTTGATATATTCAATTGGTGGTTTCCATTATTGGAAGAGACATCAAGTCGCGCATTTCCTGACGCATTCAATTTCACCCCATTCTTTGTCCAAGCGACATCAGGCTCAGGGTATCCTGCCACTACGCAACTGAACACAACAGTTTTTCCTTCCACTTTCACGGCATTACTTGGAGATTGGGAGATTTCAGGGGCAACTAACAATACAAAGAAAGAAAAAGAAATTATCAGTCTCTACAAAACCAAACATGATTTAGAAGATGTTGTACGACCTGTTGGTTTTAAGCACTGCGGTATTACAAAAGAGTACGAATGAAACAGAATTTCCCAAACATTTTATAATAAACGCCAAATATACATC